ACCGCCTCGTTGTTGAGGATCCAATCATCGCCACCATAGGTTGCGATGTCGTCACCGCGGATGAGCAGCCCTGCGACCCGAGCGCAAGTGGGCAAATCAATCTCTATGTCGTAGAGATTGATGCTGCTGCGAATGGTGTCCCCGTCACGGCGGAGATTGGAATAGAAAGCCCGGACAAAGGCGGGATTGAAGCTCGAGCGGCTCTTGGAGACGAATGGCCACAAACCCGACGCTTGGAGTTGGTTGTCGAGGTCGTGGTACCCTTTGTCTTGGGGAAACAACTCCGGGAGCACGCGAGGTGGAGAGATCGGGCGCTTGGCAAAGTGAGTGAGGAAGCGTGTTAGTTCTTCCTCCGACCCGAACTCAAGAAATGATCCGTCCAGGTAGGGGAACGGTTGAGGCGCAGAGGTCGAGGGTTCGGCGGTGCTTTTCTTCTTGGAAGCCTTACACTTTGATCTTCCTCCGGCCATGGTTGAGACGTTTTTGAAGAAGGATTGAAGAAATATTGAGATTAGGATCAAGGAATGAAATTATGATGTTAATGGTGTATTAGAATGAGCAAATATGAGGGATATATATATAGGGAAAGGGAGATTAGGCCGTTTGGATTCAAAAATATAGCTGTTGGGCAATTAATGTGGTGCCCAACGGCTCTGAATTTTTGAAACGCAGGTGCCTTCCCAGCGATGGTAGGATCTACCCATCGATGGGAAGGTCGCCACTGGAAAGCAAGGAAGGACCCAAGGCTGCCTTCCCAGCGATGTTTGAATTTTCCCATCGATGGGAAGGTGGCTTCTGGAAAAGAGAACATGGCCTTCCCAGCGATGTTTATACCATCCCATCGCTGGTTTGGTATTTTTGAAAATCCATTAAAGAATTTTTTTAAAAAAATAGTGTCAAATACCCAGCGATGGGAGGAACTTCCCATCGATGGGTTTGGAGGTTCTGAAACAAAAACAGGAGCTCACCCAGCGATGGGATAAACTACCCATCGATGGGTAAAGGCGTTCTGGAATTCTGTTAAAAAATTTAAGTCAAACACCCAGCGATGGGAGAAAGTTCCCATCGATGGGTTGGGAGGTTCTGAAAAAAAAAAATTTTGATAAAAGTCCTTCACCCAGCGATGGGACAAAGTACCCATCGATGGGTTAGGGTGTTCTGGAAAAAAAAGAAACTTCCCTCCCAGCGATGGGATGTCCTACCCATCGCTGGTTCCCCCTGATTTCCAGAATTCTTCACTTGGAACCGTCCCTGCAAAAAAGCATAACACTTTGGTACCCAAAGTATGTCTATGGGTCCTTGGGGGTTAGTTGACCTTTATTGTCCACACACACCCAAAATTCACACACACACACACAATTAAATTATTGTTTAGGAGTTACCTTGGCCAACCCATTGTCTAGTGGTTGGCGGGTTCCAGTCTACCCGAACGGAGTGCCAATATCTCAGTGTGGTCTGTGTTGGTTCCGGTAACGGAATGTGGACTTTCTTCTTTTCGTCAAAGTAGAAGAAATAATACGGTTTCTTTTGTGCACTATCCTGTGGAGATTGTTTATGATTTGAATATCCTTTTCCAAAGGATTTCATTTCATTAGCACCAAATACGTTGTGTGTTTCATTGTAGGTGAAGTGCCTATGTCTGGTGAAACACACGGGAGCTATATGTCCTACTCTATTACAATAATGGCATACTACGTTTGGGTTGAACATATGCCTAGGTTGATAATAGCTAGGGGGCCTAAACATGTTTGTCCTATTTTGAGAAAAGGATGGTTTATGTATGTTCTCAAAAGGATCATTTCTAGGTGTTCTCATATTGTCTCTTCTATTTTGAGAAAAAATATTTTTATGCACAAAAACATTTTGATAATTTTTCTTAGGTTGTCTACCATGAACGTTTTCATTCCTAGGTTTTTGTCTAGGTTGTCTAGTGTTCTTAGATTGACTAGGTTTTCTATTTACTTGATTTTTAGCTTTCTTATGTTGAGCCTTAGGAGGTTGTCTAGGTGTTTGCTCAACGTTTTCTTTATCCTTAGCTTCGTTTTTATTAAAACCTATTCCTTCTTTAGAAAAATGCATGGTGTCAAGGAGTAAATTAAGATCTTTGTGTGGAGTATTAAATTTCTTGACCGTACTCTCAAGTTTTGTGACTTGTTCCTCTAAAGCTTTGCAAGATTCACATTCGTTTGAGGAACTTTCTGGTTTGTCGGCGCTTCTTTTGCCATAAAATTTATTCTCTTGTTTTAACTTCTCATTATCTTTTTCCAGATTTTCAAAATCATTTTCAAGAGTGGAGAGGCGTTTCTTTAACGATTTGTTGATTTTAGAAGCGCT